AAAGAGCTAAAATTTATGTTTAATATTAATATATTCAGACGCGTTCTTGTATCGAATTACCATAGTCTATTATTGTCTCCGTTCGTACAGGCCGCGCAAAGCACGGTTACAGAGCCAGGCACCTTATATTATGATGTATTATACCCTGTGTATTAAGCGGAACCTAAATAAAGATAACTCTGGCCTGGCCTGGGTACCCTAACTGCCTTTATAATTTAAGCCGGCACGGTTGTGCACGACGAAACGTTACATGCACTCGTGGTGTGCGTTTTCGCATATTTTTTCTTCCCGGTAGTACCGTCTTTCCCGGTATTATAGCGCTCGATAGCGCTGTTTTTTAACTCCGTCGTCGCGACATGCTTTTTGATGTTTTAGCATAAACACGGACCCCGGTGTAAAAGCCGATTCGACGTGTCGAGTTAAAACAATCAACAATAACGCAAACATAATGCACACGTTCCGTAACGAAAGGATATACAGGATGCGGTCAGCGTTTTTTTACGGCTTGCCGTCGCAGTATGGAGTATGCTCGCTCACGATTTGACATCGCTTGCTCTCGCGACGGATAGGGATATCCGCGCGAGGAGATACTTGAAAATTGCTAGCTAATTTGCTTAATTCTTTCGAGGCTTCCGCGTTTCCTCCGCCACGACGGAGCCATGATGTCAGTAGTAAGAGAAAGTGTGAATTCGCCCTTTCTCTTACTCTTTTCTAATTTCTTTCCAATATTTTTTCGCACCTTCAAAGAGAATGAGGACATTTACCTAAGACGATTATGGTAAAGAATCTCATTGCAAACGCCGTTCCGAATATCTGCATGGAGAGGATGATTTTGTATTTAAATTTAGCTACATGAATCTAAAGATAATTTTGTTAGACTATCAAAATAATTATATAAGATGCTAAAATGCAAAACATTTTACAGCATTATTTCACAAAAAGAGTCTGGTTGCATTAATTAGAATTTCAATTGAAAGTGGACAAATCAGAATTTTCTGGTTCAATCTATTATAATTCTAATTGAGAGATAACCAGAATTCTGATTGATATAAACAAAATGTTCTGATTCGTTTATTTTCAACTTGAAATCTGCTCGGTGTCATTATGCTTGAAATTTTTACACTGTTAAATTCATAACGTCAAATTATATTCAATTTATATTATTTTTAATCAGAAGAGTCTGTAAGAGAGTTTAAATCGCGTAAGTGTGTCATTATCATTATCTGATGAATAAAATTGTATATTATTATCTGATTTTAAATTTTGTTGCTTGTTCATGGCCATTTTACCTTCACATATTTTTAATCATTTCTGTAGATCGCCACAGTTTCCCATTCAGTATGTTGTTAATTTAATTAAAACTAAAAGTCGGAGTTAAACAATTTAATTAAAAACAATTGACTTGTTTAATTTATATTATTCATTAAGTACATAGGTATTAATATGAATATTTATTTTAAAAATAAACACACACATAAATGTATTAATTTTGTTGCATATAGACGTTAAAATTAACAAAATGTTATTTAACTCAAGGAATTGGGTTACTATTATTTTTTTTTATCTAACAATGTACGTAATTATTTAGATAATCCAACAAGATTATTTTTCATACTCAGTTAAATGTTTAGATACTTCAGCAAAATTATCCTTTCCATGTGAACCTAAGCGGCTGCATTTTTAATGTTTCGCACTATTAATTAACGAGCGGCATTTTCACCGAATGACGTGAGGGGCAGGTTGAATCAGCTTCGCTCGTCGAAAGGTCGATGAATTGCTTCAGCAGGATAATCGCGAGGTCGTTAGCGGCCGTAGTTGTGTGTTGGCCGATCGAAAAGGCAAAAAGGGAGATGAGCGAGGGAAAGGGTAAAATAGTGACCGAGCGAGAGACACGGGGAAGAAGAGATGGAGAGAAAAACGGCGTTCCCGCCGAGAGTTCTCGGTAATCCTCAAGTCAGTCTTTGTGCCGCGGAATAGAGAAGGCGCATGTCTGCAAGAATGCAAATCGCAGACACAAGCGAATCGAGCGGAGCCGCGTATACGAGCCGCGTGCCATCGCTTACGGCCCGATGGTTTGCGGCTAGCGTCACGTAAAGTTTCATTCACGTTATCTATACGGTCGCTGCACCGTCGCTTCGCGACAAGACGATCTCACTAGGAAACGATTCTCTGTCTCACTTCGTTAGATAGACCTTGAATTTGCATTAAAACGTTTCACAATGAGCTAAATTAGATCGCAATGTACGTGATATAAATAAGTAAGGAACAAGCTCCAAATGCGGTCAAGGCTGGTGTTCATGGTGCCTAATAATATTATATTTCTATGTAAATTTTATAACCCTTAGGATATATCCAGACAAATTCGCATATCTGCATATATGAATGCATAAAGAAAATTATCCAATCACATTTTACGCGCGTGTTTATAACAGCAATGTGATTGGATAATTTTCTTTATGCACGTGTTCTTTATGCGGTTATGCAAATTTGTCTGGATCAGACAGTTACTAATATAGTTGAGCCAATCGTGTTCTGCACATTTCTTTTTTTTTTTTAATATTAGGAACACCTCTAGCTAAATAATAATCTCTATTTTTTTTTTTTTTTTCGTATTTGACGATGAGTATAATTTGTAATATAATATTATTGCTTGCTTAATTCAGTGTATGATTGCATTTTAAGTTTGATAAGCCAAATCGGCGCGCGGTTTAATAAGACTGAAAAATGTATTTGCAAATTTGCATGTGAATAATCAAACACCAAGATCCGCTTTGACCAAAAATAGATATTGATAAGCTTAAAATACTGCAAACACTTATTGCAAAAATATTACCTCAGCCAAGGTTTCAACCTCCTGCAACAGACAAATCTAGGCAGGAGGGCATGAGGACGATGGCCTTTTCTTCGAGTCTTTTCTTTTAAAAATTTATAGTAAAATGTTATATATATTTGTAATATTTTTGAAATGATTAATTACAATTTTGATATTCCAAAAATACTTTTTAATTTAAGAAGCTCCTATATATAAAAAACTATATATAAGATTCTATTATATTATTCTTATTTTTGTGTTAATATAATTTTAAACAAAACATTTTATGAATTATACATCTAAATAAACTTTTTCAATGCAATAAATTTAAAAATAAATATGTTAATAAATATGTTACCGTGGACTCTCTCTCTCTTTAAAATAACAAAATTAATCTGGACTAATGAGAATCAGCGCGAAAGAAGGTGCGCAATAAATTTTAACAAGTAAATTTGTTACTCCATTTGATGTGTTGATATCTTCTTTATTTAAAGTCTTGAACGTTTCGATTCTCTTTGGAATCTTCTTCAGCAATATTCTTAATCCATGTAATAATTTAATATTCTATCTTATCATATTTGAAAAAAAATTTTACTTGTGGCGCGCCAATGGTCCCCCATCCCCCATAATAAATTTCTGGATCCACCAATGACTTCCTGAATCTTCTACTTATCCTGCAAAGTGGGCGTATTTTTTTAATTAAAAAATGTACGTTTCACGTTACACACATAACTTTCCAATTTTCTTCACTCTCAAGTCAGGGAATTTGACGCAGCAAGATAAGTTTTTATTCCATTGAATTGGTCTCCTCAGTGTTATCAAAAGATTCGTTCCGGACCTCGAGAAATTTAGCGCTATTTATATGCTAATTAGTTGCCCTATTAATTTTATTGCTCGAGTCGTTTGGCAGGAAATTTCAAGTTACATAATATCCAGTTTTAACACGTGCTGAGGAACGTCCTTGCTCTCGTACGGTTCTAGTATCGGAATGCGTATTTAATCGAATTATAATAGCTCGAGATCTTTGATAATGTAACTATAATAAAATTCACGGGCCATAAGTCACGAGTATTTGAAATAGGCGGTGCGGCCTGCTCGTTTCTCTCACGGCGCGCACGTGCGCCGAGTGCCGAGAATCTGTATTCCGAAAAAATAAATAG